CCAAATGGAAATATGTGCACTCTTTACAGTATGACTTTTGTCAAACAAGAAAGCACAGTTTGAAGAGATGGATGAGATTGCCTTTATGGGTGGTCTCACCCTGTCCACTGCGAGCTGGTGGCAGCAGGACTTGTACAACCATCCAGAGAGACTGCATGAGTTCTTTGGCCCAGTGCAAGATGAAAATGGGCCTCTTGATTGACAAGGATTATGAACTTCAAGACGGCAGCAGCAGAAGTCTAGAGCAAGCATTGATGCCCTGAGAGGTGTCTCTGCTAGGAGAACCCAAGTAAATCCAACCTCCAAAATTCTGTGAGGATCTTCCAGAACATGAGGGCTGGTGGCCCTCTCCCTGGAGAGCTAAGAGTGGAATTTGACCTTCCTCCTTCTCCTCCTCCTCCCCAGCCTGTTCGAAAAGGTAACCTTTGGCAGTTAGAGGTAAAGACAGCATTAACTGGGAAAACGGAGCGCATCAGGACAGGTAACTTCATATAACAGCTGTGAACGGCTGGCCTAAAATAGACCCAGACACTGGAAATCACACATGTGACCCAGTGGGGTTAAGTCTGACAGCAGGAAGAAAGCCAGTCCTCAAAAACGTAACCGAAAGACTCCACTGATTTATTCACGTGCCTGCTTAAGTTAGTTACATTTTTTTCACCTTTAACGTAGATTACAGTTTAATCCAGATTTTATCACCCAAAGTGGCATGTGAATTAACCTTCCATAATCATTTGCTAGAATGAGACTGACAACATAATGACTAACTCCCAGTGTTCCGGTTCTGCAGTTTACAGAAAAACCAACTTCATGCTCTGAGCATCCTTCAGGTCAATGCATGTGGGATTATTTTTGTGATTCAGAAAACACACACACACACACACACAAAACGACAAAATCATCTACCTGTGCAGGTCTGACTCAGTTCAGACATATTTACTTAAGGATTATCAATTTTACAGAATACCTTGGTCCCTATTATGGTTTTGGTTGCTCAGACATGCCTGAGGCACGTCACCATGCAGTTGAATATCACGTTGGATTTTCAAGGTGGYTTATGGATTTCGAGAACACTGCCTTATAAGGGAAAGCAGGTGGCAGAGTCCCATGTGGTGGACTTGGGGCAGCAAGCCAGGAAGTAGCCACCACCCTGGGCTATTTCCAAGAATCAATCCTTGGGGGCCTCTGTTTCCTTATCTATGAAAACAGGAGTTAGCCTCACTTACCCACTTTCTAAAATTGTTTCTAGTTTTAAAATTCAGTGCTTTGTTCCCTGGCCTCTTACCATTAAAGACTAGAAACTTACAAAGAAACCATGGYTCTAGTTACCAAAACCTTGCCCTGAGTTGGGTTCAGGAGAGGCAGACGCCAAGTCCTCTGGGTCAGGTCAGCGGACCTGCTGTTATTGATCACACAGGAGACTGGAAGACGTGCCAGGCATTGTTCTAAGTGCTCAAGAATCATCAAGAGACTGTGGTGGAAAGAGGCCAGAGAGGCTCAGTAACTCGCCTTGGGCCCACCTACAGCTGGACAGCTAGTGGAAGGCTTTGCTGGGYTCTGACCCCAGCTATCTGGTGTCACAGCTACCAGCAAACAGAAGAGATGATAAAGGGACATTTGGAAAGCTTTGATACCCACTCCCATGATTGTACCATATTTGCTATTTGAGCATCTTAAAGAAGAGAATARATAGTTCTCGCTCCTGCTTGATTTGAGACCTCCTGGTTGGGAGGCTGGGAGGCTGGGGGCTRGAAGGCTGCCAGTTGGCCCCACCTCTGCCAGGGATTCCTGGTACTTAGGCCAGTAAACAAGTGAGCGAGATGAGCTGGGTTGGGAGGTGGGGGAGATGCATGCATGTTAAAAAGCTTGACTGTACCCACTCTTAAACCTCATGTGTATGGGTGGAGTAGTGTATCCACTCTTAAACCTCATGTGTATGGGTGGAATATGTATCGGTGGAATAGTGTATCCACTTTTAAATCCCATGCGTATCTGTGGAACAGCCGACACTTCCAGACTCACGGTCCAGATGATACATAAATTATTTCTGTCTCTAAGTGCATTTTTTTCCTCCCAGCTCCTCACCCACAGGACATCCAAGGTCTCACTTTGTGTGTGATTTTTATAATACCGTGTACTTTGTTTCTACTTGTTCAAGGGCAGCGACTAAGYCTTACTCATCTTTGTCCTCTCAGCATCTGACACTGTGTTTGCTGAATGAATAAATGATACACCTCCGACTAAATGACGTCTATTTAACTTGCAACTGGAAACCACCGCAAACCATGTGTGACCATTGATTTGGATCTCAAGGTAAACACAGACGAGCTTCTCAGGAAACTTATTTGTGCTGTTTTTTTTTAAAGGATGACTTGGGAAGTTAATAATTTTTCATAATTGTGTTTAGATTCTAAAAAATCTTACCTGCATTTCACTCCCGAGGCATTTGGCGTGTATAGCACTTCCCCTGCACTTCAGGGAAGAGTTGAAAGTGCCTCACTTTCAGTCTCCCTCCCACTTCTGCTCACTTGGCTTTCAATTTCCTGGACCTCCTAACTCCCATGACTTTTGATCTCCAGGCACAAGGGCTGTACTTTTATTAGGTTTAATTTACCTTACAGCCCCATGTTCCCTGTGAATCGCACCATAATAGTCAATGAATAATCACAGAATTAGCCAGGCTGGGCTTTAATTCTGCCGAGTAACTAGGAAACCGACTAATAATAGGAAGGAAAAAAAAACTGTAAGGAGCCCTGATGTGGCTCCAGAACCAGGTCCTCCGTGTTAACATGAAYATGTAACTGCCCAAGCGCCAGTACKCGGGCCACCAGGTAGCACCCAGGCCAGGGAGACAGGCAGGAGCCTGGTGGGGGCAGGGAGACAGGCAGGAGCCTTGGCCAACAGGGCAAGCCCCTGGGCAGCCCACCAGCAATCTCTCAGCTCTGGCATTTGTGTTTCCAACCACTGTCATTTTTGATAGTTTTCCATATCTAGACCTGAGAAGGCAAAGATCTGTGCCCACGCCGCCCCCCCCCCCCCCGTATAGGACAGTTTTTTCAAAGTTTTTCATAAAACACTCTCGGAGGAGARGAACTTAATTGCTATACCATCTGGAGCCCCTCGTGACCATGGGCTCCACCCTCCCTGTTGGGTTCTGTTCAGTGCCTACCCACAGTATGACATAGGTTCTGTAATCCGCCCTTATCCTATGGAGGAGGCTCAAGACTAGTAAGCAGAGGAAAGACCCCAAGTCTTTGAAACCATGGGCTCCTTCCTTTAAAAGCTTTCTGCTCATAGGGGTTGTAAAATGCCCAGCAAGACAAGCACCCGCTTCTGTCCCTCAGCCCGTACCAGCCCTGAAGGAGGAAAGAGGTCTTGGGTCAGGGAGCCTTCCCTGAGCAGCCAGCACGGGCTCCCAGGCTCCAGAGCAGTGTCGGGGGGATGGGGAAGCAGTCAGGCCCTGAGCTCGAGGGGTGGTCTGTCTGGGACAACCTTCTCAGACATGGCCAAAGCCAGGTGGACAGCCTAGGGRTGGGGGAATCGGGAGACCCTCTATTAACCAACTGCAGCCCAGATGAGTCAGTATTTTYTGCTAGTGATTTTTACAGAATCAACATATGCTTCCTATCTCCATGGCAACACACTATGGATCTGCATTCCATTTGTGGAGCTCCTTCTTGACCTCTCTGTGTTCTCTGATTCAGCCTGAATATCTGCTGAGAAGCCATCAGAGTCCACCCAATCTCCAAGAAGTATCGGTTCCCTCAGTCCTGGCTGTTCCAGAAGGGCAGACGCTGCCTCCATCCATGCCACTGGAATATCTGGAGACCTTCACCTGGAGACACACAACAGTACTTCAATTAGGGGGTAACCCCGATCCGGAGTTGCCATGGAAACCCGGTTGTATTGAGTCCTGGAGAAGCTGAGTGCTTCCTCGCCCTTCCCAGTRTGGTGGTCCTTCAAGGTCTTGCCTAAGCTGCGTGTTTCTGTTTCACCTGCATCTTAGAAATCTGAACGTCCTGCTAAGTACTGAGCGTCTGACCTGAGCCTAAATAGGAAATGCACAGGTTTCTAGTTWTGGACTCCAGCGCCTTAGGGTAAAAATGGAGACCACAGTATGGCTGGTGGTTTTGACCACGGGTCTGGGAGGCAGATGCACTCGGGGTTCACTTGTGAACTTCCCACTTAGATGACCTGGCAGCTTTTTACTGTAAGGTTCAGTTGGCTCCTGTGAAAAGTGGGAAGGAGCGAGCGTGCCTCRGAGAATCAGAAGGATTAAAGGTTGATGCCCTAGAGCCCTCGGCCCAGAGAAAAGCTCCGTCAAGGCCCAGCTCAGCTCTAGGGGGCGCCACGCACACGGAGGCCACAGGAAGGGGCTTCCTGGTAGCAGCATTACATCCCGGGCCCGGCCAAGGGCCCAGCTCCACATTTATAACCTTATTTAGTCCCTTCCTGATGGACTGGCCAGAAGTCAAAGTCCATTCGGAGGCTCAGAGGGGCCAGCCCCGGTGCAGAGGCCTTACTACCCAAGCCCCGATGCCATCGCGCCACCAGCGCCAGCGCCAGGTTCCTGCGGAATCCGAAAGGCACGTGGGCGTCGGCGCGAGGGACTGGCCCGCCGCGACACTCCTCGCCTGACCTACCAGGGCGCACGGCCGCCCGCTCGGCCGAGACCCCCGGTCCCCGAGCCCCGGGCCGGCAGGCGAGAGACCAGCCTAGTGACAGCKGGCGGGGAGTCCGGGCCGGAAGGAGCCGCCCTCCGCGGCCTCCCTCCGCGGCCCCCGCCGGCTCGCCGCCTCTCTCCTCCTCCCCCGCAGCCTCCAGCCTCCTCCCCTCGCGCTCGTCGTCCTCCCCGCCCCCTGTCCCCTCCCCTGCCCTCCCCCCGCGCCTGAAGAGCGCGCCGCGAGGGGGCCGGGCCGCTTACTTCCTCCACCGCGGCGCCGAGCGCGGAGTGGCCCCAGCCGAGCCTGCGCCCCTCCGCCCGCCCTCGCCCCCGGCCCGGCCCGCGCCCGCCTCGCCTCGCCTCGTCTGCCCGGCGCGCACCGGCAGTCCACCCGGCCCCAGCCGCCGCCCGGCCGGCCCTGCCGCAGCAGCACGGTAAGAGCGAGCGGCCGGAGAGGGACACCACGCTGGGCAGGGACGGGCACCGAGGGCCAGGTCCCGGGTGCCGCGGGCGGGGGCGGCGGCTGTCCGGAGCGATCGAGGGTCGCTCGTGCGAGTTCCAYTCGCGCTTGTTTTCCGGTGGCCGAGTGGCTGGGGGTGGTGGGGCCCGGCCACGCAGAGGGGCTGCCCTGCCCGAGGTCTCGGAGCCGGTCCCCTGGCTTTTGTGTTTGGAAGGAGACGCGGGCCTGACAGGGGCTCCTGCCCAATACGCGCCCTGGCTTCGGCCCAGGGTGTTGGGGACCGGAGGGCGCGCCCGAGGTGGACCCGGGTTTGGGGGTGATCGGCTGGAGGGGCGTCGTTCCCCGAGGATCTGGGGCGCCCGAAACACCTGGGCGGCTGCGGCTGCCCTGGAACGAGTCACCTGCTCCGCCAGGTCCGGGCCGCCAGGGCCCTCGCCCTAGGAGGCCAGCACAGGGCACTCTCGAGGTGGGGTGTGCAGGCGCCAGGAGGCCGCCTTTATTTCCTTGGCCTTGGAGCTTTTGGATGGAGGGGTAAAGGCGTTCGCTGGTGTGTTTGGGTTGTGGTTTTATTTCTTGTTTTTTAGATTCGTTTAAGCGCAGGAGGTATATTAGCCTGTATTCAGTTTCAGGGTGGCCTAAAATAGTAGTTGACTCGCTACTTATTTAGAAAGTGAAGAAGTGAGCAGTCCTCTTTGGAGATAGGAGTAATTTATTTTAATTCACCAGTAAGCGATTATGTTTGTTCCCTACAGTGGAAGCGCCTCTGCGTTATCCGCCTGCCCACACCACCGCCAATCGCGGAGATCAATCTCCACGTTAAGCTTTATTAAAATTCTGAGTAATATCTCAGTACAGTAAATGTGAACACCGTGCGTCCCGCAGGCAAATAGTCAAACCCTCATTTCTGGGATTAGTCATCCTCTCTCTAAACTGATGGCTTGTAAAGCCAGAAGCAGAAGTGTGATAGGGTTCTCCCCCCACCCCCAAATATACCTACATACAAACCTGTCCTCTAATCTTACATAAGTGACTACTTGTTCCAATAAGGATACTGTTGTCAGGCAAATTCTCCTTGTTTTACAATTTAACCATTTTCAGTCCTGAGCCTGCTGCCATCTTTCTTCCCCCACCCCCATTTTTCTTTTGGTTCAGAAGCAGCAGCCAATGGCAGCACCAAAAAGATCTAAACTTGAAATCGATTTATATGTTGCCACTTGGTCTGCCTGCTGAGTTAACAAGCAGGTTGAGTAGAATAAGTGAACTTACATTTGATGAGTTGTGTGTCTGCCTGAAACCATTTAGTAGAGCACTTTAAGTCTACATGGGTTTTTTTTTAACAAAACTCATTAAAAGCTGGACAACAAAAGAATCCTATTCCGCAGATGGTAATTACGCTCTTTATGTGGGAGTGGTAGGCTGGCTGCCTTTTCTCCTGGTATTTGTACACAAAAGCCGGCAGAGCTCTTCAGTGGCCCTCCACATCCATTCTCTGTCCATCTCAGGAGCCAAAAACATAGAATTAAGTCAGCAGGTGTCTGTAGACCAAATCATGACAAGAAAGTGCCGTCTGGGGCTCGGGAGGGGTGATTGAACACGCCCAGGTGTACTGGTTTTGTTGACTGACCTAGAGACCTAGAGTTGTAAGTTAGAGAGCATTTCCYGGGTCCCAGGGTAGTGAAAAGGGCCTGGTCTAATAATATTTGTATACTCTGTSAGATATAGTCATCCTTATTCCAGGGTTTTAGACCATCCTCGACTGGAATTCTGATCCCCACTCTTGCCCCTTACAGGCCTCCATAGTAGCTGTGTGGCCCCAGGCCAGTGACTCATGTTGCTGGGCCTCAGTGGCCTCTCTTGAAGGAGGTAGAGCATCTGCCTAGAAATGCAGAGACTCAGGGACTGGGGACACAGGGTTGTCCAGCATAGGGCTTATCCCTTGGTGACTGTGGGTTCCGGCATGGCCACCATCATTAGTAGCAAATGTTGACTTCTGAGTGAATGTTGCTGACACCATGCACCAAGTGGAGACTCCAACAAGGGTGGCCACTTACGAGCCAGTCCCCTCCCCAGGCTCCCACGGGCTTCTTGCTCATTGCAGTGCTCCTGGGCCTCTGAAGGCTACTGCCATCTTACCTCTTTCCTTCAGCCCTTAACAGCCCTTCCCAGCGCTTCTTTCGGCCTCTGTTATCTCTTTAGCCGAGATGTGTGCACATGTGTGTGTGCGTGCGTCGGCTGTCGGCATTGTTGAGACATCTGCTTTAGCCCTAATGTTGACCATAAAGCGAGAACGAGAAAGCTTAAACCCACATAATTCCATGACAATGTGCTGTTTGCTGCCTCCAGTAGGTTCTCTCAGTAGCACGGTATTTTAGTTCAAGTTCTCAGTTGCAACAGGTAGGAGCACCCACAGGAGACCTGGGTGGTAATTAGGGGTGCCCGTGGAGCAAGTTGAAGGCTTTCAATACTGYAGCCATGAGGCAGGGAGGGTGGGGGATGGCCTTCTGTGGCCTTATTTGCCATGTTAGAAATAGTACAACCGATGACATGGATTGCATTACATTTCAGTTACCTAATAGATTCAAAATATTCTATAAGCATGCAGTAAATGAATAAGTTATTGAGACATTTTTCTTTTTTCTCCTAAATCTTTGAATCTGTGCTGACCATGTTGGTCACCTTATCAGAGCCAGCGAGGCTGATCCCTATTTGGGATTACTCCCACTGTGGAAACTGCAGGAATCRTTTAAGCTCTGTATTCAGAGCAGGAAGATCCTGGGACAGCAAGGGTTTCATCTCACCCTCTCCCTTTTACCCCCCTTCTGGGCCTGTGCTTCCTGGCATCTTGGAGAGCAGAAGGGAGAAAGGGGAATTTTCTGAGACTCCTTCTAGGGCTGCTTTTCCAGATCTGGATCCCATGGGAGCTATTTGATGGGGCCACCAACCCTCCTGCAGCTGCCTTGGTTGAGGGGAGTATGCCCCCGCAGGCAGGAAGTGACCACTGCCCTGCCAGCCCCCCCCCCATGTCATTGAAAAGCATGAAAGTACCCCCTTCCAGCATGAAGGTGCCAGCCATCCAAAAAGGTGCTTAATCTGGAGAACCATTTCTAAGGGAATTCAGTAGGGAGTCAGCATTGTTATTTAAATATCTGACTGCAGAAAACGCTGTCCTGTTGAGACCCTTGGGAGGAAAGCCTTGTAAATAAAAATCCAGGTGTGAACTACCTGTTACTGTAGAATCAACCAGGACTTCCTGGAAACCTGCTTCATGTGTTGCCCCTTTAACTCTTCATTTCCTTTTCTTTTTCAAGATGAATGATTTTGGAATCAAGAATATGGACCAGGTAGCCCCCGTGGCTAACAGTTTTCGAGGGACGCTCAAGGTGAGTGAGTCTTCATTACAATATTTTACAAAGCRGGAACCTCCATCTCTAGGAGAAAAAATATTGGCCTTGTCCCAGAAGATGGGTAGTGAGGCCTTTGTAGTGGACCTGGCTCCTTCCATGTGAAAAGGTCCTGTGATTCTCAGTCTGACAGTTGGAGCAGCTTCCTGTCCTGCCTTTTTATCTACTGGGGGGTTTCCTGGGTGGTGAAAAGGCTGTTTATGAGCTGCTGTGAAAGAGGTAAGAAGAATTAGCCACTGCTTCCATCAGAAGGGGTGACACCCCGAGGAGGTGGGAGGGAGCCTGTTGTCACTGGTGCAGAGAAACAGGCCTGTTTATGTAAACTGGAAAACAGATTAAAGATGAAAGAGCCTGGGTGGCACATGCCTGTAATCCCAGCTGCTGGGAGTCTGAGGCAAGTTCAAAGCCAGCCTCAGCAAAGATGTGAGATCCTAAATACAAAGTAGGGCYGGGGATGTGGCTCAGTGGTTAAATGCCCCTGAGTTCAATCCCCACTACCCCCCCCCCCAAAAAAAAGATGAAAGAGGCTTCTCCGCTGCAGAAACGTGCTTCATGTCTCTTCTATCATGATTCCTTTAACTTCCATTTGCTTTCTCCAAGTGTAAGTGACAAGGTGCAGTTGTTTTTGTAGAGTAAGAATGTTTCAGAAGCACTGATTTTAAGGTTGGCCTCCTGAAAGCTGGGTCTGGCAAGATGATGACGTTATCCCCGGAATGTTGTATTTTCCTTTGTAAATCACTAGTGAGGTTATTTGCGTGATATAGTACCGAAAGAAGCTAGGAGCCGGCACAGTATTCATGTCATTATGAAGAACAAAAAATTTCAGTGAGTTTTCATGTGTGTTTGGTGCGATGTTTTAAGCCAGGCAGAAGTGGTGTAGAGATTATGGTTACTGAGTTGCAACCAACACCCCTAAGGAAATCCTTCTATGAATTAAAAGAATCTGATGATGCATCTGAGGTCTCTGGATTCGGAAAAGAAATAGTCATTGCTGAAATTTGTGTGTTGAAATACAAAATGCRGATTTGATTTGTTCTTTGGCTTCCTGATTTTAAAACAAGAACTTACAGTCCGGAAAAGCACTTGTTAGCGGCTTGGGTAATGCTAGTGGGAATTTTTAACCTCTGTGGGACATTTCACCAAAATTAGCTCTGCTGTGAAGTCGTTTATGACTGCAGATGAGTATTTTGCCCTTGCCTGGTGAGTTTCTCCTCCCAGGTCATAGGCAGTCAAGACGTCACCTCCTAGGGCTTGGGGTTTTAGGGGGCTGGGCTCCCAACTTCTGCCTGCCTGCTTTTGCAATGCGTCATTCATTGTTCTGCATTCTGGAAAAAAAAAAAAAAGCGCACAACTGATTTTATTTGTAAATGTGTTACACATTTTTTTATTGATGACTCAACAGATGGGTCATTGTGTTACACATAACATGGAATTTCCAGAATATGTTGGAAAAATAGAACTTTTCTTCACGTTTCCCCCAACAAGTTAGGCAATGACAATGAAGACATTATCTTTTACTTAGAAATATGTCTTCCATTAAAGACTGTGTTCGCAAGGTGCTGGAGGTGCTAGATCAGCACTCCACACACACTGAGTTTTCTGTCCCGGCGCATCTCTCTCCCCTAAAGTGCAGGTGGTTGAACTTCAAACTCATTTCCTTTGGAAATCCTTCCACTTACGGGTGTGTGAGTGGTTCTTTTCAATAACACACTTCACTTTTATAAAATGAAACCTTAAGGAATCTTTTTCACATGTTATTATTTTCTGAACTGTTGAAACCAGAGGGGGACCAACTTCTCTGTTTCCATTTAAATTGTCTCATGAGAAACATTTCAAGTGAATGTTTCCAAAGATATCTTTATCACAGAGATAAAATGTGATGCTTAGATTTTCAATTTTTATTTGTTTAAAAATATGTACCCCACCTGGTTGAATTCCACTCCTACCTAACAGGAAGGACAGGTGTTTACAAAAGGGATCTTGAAGTTCCTCCTAGCATAGTCCCAAGATTCTGTTGTTCTGAATTTTTTTTTTAATTTCTTAATTTATGTTGATTAGACMAAGAAAATAACCTCCTGGTCATTCTGATTCTGTGAGGTTAATTAAATAATCCAGAATAAAATGGAATCACCGGTCACTCTGACCTTCTTAGGAAGTCTGAGTACTGAGTGGTTAATTGCATGTGTTGCTTTATAATTGCTGGTTTAATCAGGGTCCATCAGTAAGATCACCCATGGACCCCTTTTAAAGTGGGTAATTAAATAAGTTCCTCTTGTATCTCCATTTGCTTTTGCATCTGTTTCTGCAGCGCCAGCCGGCCTTCGACACCTTTGATGGGTCCCTATTTGCGGTTTTCCCCTCTCTAAATGAAGAGCAAACACTCCAAGAAGTGCCCACAGGCTTGGATTCTATTTCTCATGGTAATTTCATCCTTAGACTTGAGACAAACGGTGCATGATTTCCCTGAGTGGTTCAGTTGATGGAGAGGGTGATGGTTCAGAAGCAGTGAGTGTTCCTATGTTGAACTTGGGTGTGAAAACCCTGGTAGAAGACCGGACCTGGGAGAAGGCGGGTTCCTTTTTTCCTCTTTTTTTTTCCTCCAGTACTGGGTACAGGTGCTCTCCCCCTGAGACCTAAATCTGGAGAATCCCACCAGAGGGCTCACCCYGCAAGCTTCTGTCAGGAAACTGCAGGGGAGCTCTGTGTTTCCAGCCCGGGCAAGGACTTCCTCATCTCCTGGGTCAGAAAACAGACATTGAAATTCACCCGGCTTTTAAGCCTGGGCTCACATTATTAGTTAAATTTCCAACTCCCACCCCCACTGCGGCTCTGTTTTCAGGACAACAAATTATTGTTGATCTGTTCCCATCCGATTCYTTTCTGCAGTTCTTGGTGTCATTGCTTACTCTTTTTAAAGGACCAGCATGGCAGATGATGGAGGGACTGGCTGCAAGCTGGCCAGCCCCTGCTTCCTCATGTGAGGAAAGTGCTAGAAGATTCAGCCCAGGCAATTAATTGAAAGCATATGCTTGCATTAGCATAACATCATGTGACTATCATTTATCATTCTTGAAACTTCTGGAAGCATCTAGAGAAGATTGTTTTTCAATTAAAATTGAAGACTGGCCCCCTTTGTGGTGCTAAGGTCTGCCTGATCATGCCGGGCCTCCTGCCTGCTGCTTGGTTTAATGGACATAACTTCTCAACTGTGCATTTAAAATCCCTTCTGCCTTTTGACCAAAAACCATACCATTTCACCTTTTTCTAAAATTTTAAACGACATTCTGTCTATTCATGTAAAGCTTTGCAAAACAGGATAGATTTTATTTTAGATTTTGTGTGTGTGTGTGTGTGTGTGTGTGTGAGTGTAGTTCTGAAACATATAATGAATTCTCAATTTCCGTTGAGATTTTTTGTTCCTATTTATACTTTTTTTGTTATTGTTCCCCGGGCCCCTGTGTGCTAGGCGAGCACTTTCCCACTGAGCTGCCTCCCCAGCCCCACGATTACATTCCTTTAAGGAACAGTGTCCAGGTTTGGGATCAGAGATGCTCTTTCCTGAAGTTGGGTCCCTGTGTCAGTCCCCCCTGGTGTCGCCCCAGGCCCTCACCTGCCCTGCTTTCGTCTAGACTCGGCCAGCTGCTTCGAGCTGCCTCTGCTGACGCCCTGCAGCAAGGCGGTGATGAGTCAGGCCCTAACAGCCACCTTCAGCGGCTTCCAGAAGGAGCGTCGGCGTCTTGGCATTCCAAAGAGTAAGTGCTGTGTGTCCCAGCGCCGACCCGGGCGTCCAGGGCCAGGGGCACGGTGGGGTGCTCCATTTTGACCCCGGGTTTAGGGGTGTTAGAAGAGCAGCGATGCAGTTCCCGGAACCCGTGTTTCCTGCAGGGTCTGCTGCACACCCGGGCCCCCCGTCAGGCTGAGTTTCAGGGTAGAGCCTTGCTCATCTCCTGGGTTGGGTGGGTCTCCAAGAACACATCAGGGTCACCTAGTCCCCCCTTCCCACTCTTTGTCCCTGAGTCCTCATCACGTGTTCCCTCCTCGCAGACCCCTGGCTGTGGAGCGAGCGGCAGGTGTGCCAGTGGCTCCTGTGGGCCACCAGCGAGTTCAGCCTGGTGAACGTGAACCTGCAGAGGCTCGGCATGAGCGGCCAGGTGCTGTGCAACCTGGGCAAGGAGCGTTTCCTGGAGCTGGCCCCGGACTTTGTGGGCGACATTCTCTGGGAGCACCTGGAGCAGATGATCAAAGGTACCCCGAGTGACCCGATGGCCTTGTGCAGGGAGGGGAGGCTTGGGAGCAGCAGGTGCTCTTCCACCTGAGGGTCCTGTTTTAGATGACACAGAGGGCACTGCCTTGGCACCCCCTAAGGGAGGTGACCGGAGGTCTTCGTGCCACGTGGGGAGGTGTGTGGCATACACAGGGGATGACGCCATAGGCAGCAGCCTTGGCCAGGGAGCGCTGCTGTGCCGGACGCCACCATCACAGCAGCCTGGGTGGACGGGCGTTGCGCCATCCAGGGTTTCCCGACTCTGAAGGCCAGGGAGCCTTCATGGAGATGAGCTCTGTGCATCACCCAGTAAATTTCCTAAATCCAAAGGCAATCCAGCAGAGGACTCTCTTAGGAGGAGGAGTTATGTGTTTAAACAAGCGAGTGGTTGATTCACACCTCTACACGGATGGTGTTATAGAAGCTGACCATTGATCACCAGAGACCTCACCAATACAGAGACAGTCGCAATTCAGAACTTACCAGCAACAGCAATGTGTAAAATGCATTCTTTAAAAAGGAAAACAAAACTCATAGGGGTTGTTTAAGTTAAAAATTATAAGAAAATAAGCGTGTGTTGAGTTTGGGGAAATATTCTTCACTTAAATGGATTTTAAGCATGTCAAATTTCAACCTCTGCTGTAGAYTCAGAACCTCAGAAAGCCTGGGGTTCACCTGCCAGCTCTTCCTAGTTACGACGTCTCGGGGCCAGGAGATCTTGTTTTAAAAGATCCCCTGTTTATTTGGCGAGTCGGACCTGTTTTGCTRTCACTCGGGCGTGTGAGCCTGTGTGTTGCAGGAAAGGTGTGTAGCAGAGTGCAGACCCTTTCAAGTTCTCGGGTGCACCTGGCCCCTGCACTGGGCCTGCCGTGCCCTGGCCACACCTCCAGGTCTGGTCRCTGTGGGCCTGAGCCTCACAGGGCAGGAGCCATAGCCATCTCGTTAATCCTCAGCACTCCCTGCCCCTCACGGATGGTTTTTCCCAAATGGTTTAGGTGTTTCCTGAGCCTGGAAGTAAAGACATTTCAGGTCTTTCCAGCTTTGCCATCAAGTTGGACTTTGCCAATGGCATCATTAATTTTGGAAAACTTACTGACATTCTTAGGAAAATGTATTGCTGTCTCTGTATTTTTGAAGGTCACACAAAGACACGGGATGTGATGAGATGAACGGGAGGTGCCATATGCATTGGGTCATTCTGGGTCACCCGTGMGACAGAGTTCGGAAAGTAACTTTTCTTGTGGTTTTTACCTGTTTGCCATCTTATGTCTCCTGCATCTATTTTTCAGAAACCCAAGAAAAGACAGAAGATCAGTATGAAGAAAATTCACACCTCAATTCAGTTCCTCAATGGATTAACAGCAACACCTTAGGTCAGTCTGCTTGATTCTGTCTTCAGGTCTTGCTCTTGGGTCTTCCTGGTAGACAGGCCCTAATAGAAGCTCCATGGGACATCCTGTACCTGCACTGTGCCCCTGGGGTGGCCACACCTGTGTGTTGAGCTATGCGTGGTTGAAATGTGGCTGACCCACATTGAGATATACGAGGCTRTAATGCACACCAGTTCATAAGTCTTAGTATGAGATAACATAAAATCTCCCCGATGATCATACCATACTGATTACATATTAAAAAGGTAATTGATATGTTAGGCCAATTAAAATGGAAAATTAACTGCCCCTGGTCCTTGTTTAATGCAGCCACTAGAAAGTTTAAAGTCGTGTAAGTGGCTTGCAGCGTCTCCCGTGGGTCAGGGTGGTCCAGGCAGTGTACAGAGGAGAGCTGACGTCTGCGGTGGCTGGCTGTTCCTCTGCAGTGGGCCCAGGGCGAGCCATGCAGCCCTCAAGTGGCTCAGCACTTGGGAGTTGAAACGGCTATTGTGGAAGCAGGGTCCCCTGGTCACTGCTCAGTGGGAGGGAGGTCACATGGAGGCTGGAGGGTGCAGTGCCACATGGGATTTGCTCCAGGGATGGCCATCTGGGTGATCTGACTCTCACAGCCCTGCCCTCCTTCATTCCACTCAGGTTTCRGTGTGGAGCAGGCTCCGTTCTCAGTGCAGACGCAGAATTACCCCAAAGGCGGCCTCCTGGACAGCACGTGTCCCTCGTCTGTGGCTCCYGGCGTGCTCAGTTCCGAGCAGGACTTCCAGATGTTCCCCAAGTCACAGCTCAACACCGTCAGTGTCAACTACTGTCCTGTGGGTCAGGACTTCCCAGGCTCCAACTTGAATCTGCTCACCAGCAGCTCTGGTAAGCACAAGTGTCCTTGGCCGAGCGTTGATTGCAGGAGCCGCACTGAGACAGTGGTTTCTGAACAAATGTGTCCTGGGTTCAGCCGTTGGAGAAGGACGTCAGAGTGTGCTCTGTGCTCGGTGACTTTCCGACAAGCGGGCTTCTGATGTGCTGGAAACTCTGGGAGGGAGCTCACATGCAGGGCTGGAGGGGGCTGTGCCTCCTGAAAGTGAGCCCGACGGTCCCCACTCTTGAGCTGAATCCCCCATCCTGAGGGGCATTTCATGGGAATGATGTAAAACGTGACAGATTTCTTTTTAAGGAGAGGTAACACACATTGTGCAAATCCCAGTTGTACACAGTGGAATCTGTGCATGTAAGTCCACCTGTAACAGCTGTTCAGATAGAAATAGGAGTGTTTCCGGCACCCCAGGGAGTTCCCTCTCACCCCCTCAGTCACAGCATCCTCACCACAGGAGGAAACCAGTCTGACGTTGTGTCGTCCTGAATTACTTCTTGCCAGTCTTCCTCGATGGAATCATAMAGCGCTTTTTCCTTTGAGTCTGTCTTGCTGCTATCTGTGAGCGCCATCCGGCCTGTAGCCAGTTTTCCATTTCAGTGCTGTATAGTGTTCCATCTTTGAGGCTGTAACTGGTTTATTCTCCTATGGACACATGGTGATTTGTGGATGTGCCTGTCTTAAGGAGGAGGCCTCTGAGTCTGAGAGCACTTGGGGGGCCCTGAAGGACCCTGCACCTGCAGAGGGGTGGCTGCAGTCGGGGTGGTGGCGATGCCACAGTTGTGCCCCAGACCCACCTGTGGCGATGACCCCRTAGCCCTGGACCCTTCCCATGTCCCGGGGACTCAAAGCATGYGCTGGGCTGTCTCTGCCAGGGAAGCCCAAGGACCACGACTCCCCCGAGACTGGTGCGGACAGCTTCGAGAGCTCGGACTCACTGCTGCGGTCCTGGAGCAGCCAGTCCTCCCTGCTGGACGTGCAACGGGTTCCTTCCTTCGAGAGCTTCGAGGACGACTGCAGCCAGTCTCTCTGCCTCAGCAAGCCGACCATGTCCTTCAAGGACTACATCCAGGAGAGGAGCGACCCGGCYGAGCAGGGCAAGCCGGTCATACCTGCCGCCGTCCTGGCCGGCTTCACAGGTGAGCCTGGAGCCGGCCTCACCGTCCCTGCCCACCACCTCCGTCCAGGCCTGCCCCCACGTGCCAGGGGGTCAGGGTGTCTCCAGGCGAAGCCAGCTGGGTCCACACGGGCTRGGGACACCCCTGGGTCTGGCCCTGGGAGGATCATGACCACGCCCTCCACCTGGAGGCGGAGGCCGAGGAGGGGACAGGCGCTGAGTCCTGGGCCCTGACTCACCTCCTGCAGGATCTCCAAGAATGTAAACTGGCCCCGGAGGAGTGGCAGGACCGGCCTCCAGTAATACCTGGGCTGTTTACCTTTCCTGGCCTCTACAGCTGACGGCTCTTAGTGTTCAGGTTTGGGTGAGGGCTATTCTAGGCAGAGAACAAATATTAAAGCCACTTTAGAAACAGATAATCCAATACTGAAGCGAAAATACCAAGGTTTTTCTGTTTTCATTGCTTTGTGTGTTCTTTTATATATATATATATATATATATATATATATTGTATATATACACACACACATCTGTACCTATGTGTATATATGTGTATGTTATTTTAACCATATGGAGCTACTTTAAAAAAAACAGTAGATTAAAATGAGGCTACATGGGCATCCATTTTTTCTGTCATCTGAAAAGCCCGTAGGTGAGGTCCACGTGGAGGGTGGGGGCCGGCGGTAGCTCCCCTCTCTGGAGGTGCAGGGCCTGGTCGGGAAATGCAGGGCGTGGTGCTGGTTCTCCGTGTGGGTGGTGACGCTGGTCCCCCTGCGTCCACTGCCACTCTGTGGGKAAATGGGCCCCGGGTCTGTGGTGGGGGTAGCCTCTTGTGGTGTGGTGTGGACCCACTGTTGAGATGGGGCGGAGAGGTGGGCAGCTCTGGGTGGTCACCCGGCGCCCCAGCTTGGCTCGCTGGCTCCAGAACACTGTCCTTAGTGCTTCAAGGGGATCGCTATCCGGTGGGAGAGAGTGGGCTTCGGGGCAGAAGGTCTAGGTTCCCCCCTCCCCCGCTGYATGTGACCAGGACGGGGCGCTGGCCTGCAAGTGCACCTTCAGACCAGGCCCGTGAGGTTCGGGCCCCCCAGGCCGTCGGTTCTGAGCGGCAGTGGAGAAGGAAGGTGGCTGAGTTGCTGTGTGCCGGGTTGGCTTCGCAGGCCGGCCGTGAGGCCACGGGGGTCACCCCCAGGCCACCAAGCACCCCGCTCCTGAGCAGCGGCCCCACCTCCTCGAGCGACATGTGTCCCTTCCGCCGCCCCCACAGTGCCCCACTGGGAGTTCCTAGAAATCGGCCCTCAGGCTTCTCCCAGGGGAGCAGCTCCGCAGGGKGAGGACGTGAAGGCCAGACGTGGTGGCCCTCAACTTTCTTCCCCAGAGCCAACCCAGGGAAGAGCGTCGTGGCGGAGCGGCCTCTTCTCCAACMGTGGGGGGTGTAGAGGGACAGCCCCCCCTGGTGTCCAGCCTCATCCCGTGGAGGCGTTTAGACTGTCCCCACCACGCTGGGTCCCGCCTGCAGGCCAGTGCCCAGCTGGCCAGCTGTGTCCCTCGGCCGTCCTGTCCCACTGTGTCCTGATTCTGTGATGGCGAGCCACCTCCCTCTCCCCACAGGAAGTGGGCCCATCCAGCTGTGGCAGTTYCTCCTGGAGCTGCTTTCCGACAAGTCTTGCCAGTCCTTCATCAGCTGGACCGGGGACGGCTGGGAGTTCAAGCTTGCGGACCCGGATGAGGTAGGGCCGGGGCCCTGCAAATCCCCAGGCTCTAAACCTGATTCGTCATGCCACATTCCCCACTCCATCCCCTGAGCCCAAGAAAGGGCTCATCCGGTCCCCTCCCAAGTGCTCAGGCTCGACTGGAGCTTTCGCTTTGATGATGAACCCACAGGTGTCCTTCGGGGGCCTCTGTCCAGGGCCACTGGGCTTGCTTCCCAGTCTTGCTCTGATGTCCAGTCAGAAGCCTGAAGCTACACACAAAGCCTGTCCCCAAATGCCTTAGGAGACCCGCATTTGCCCATTGAGGGGACCGAGCTTCCTGATTGCCCCTCCCTGGTGGTTGGGACCAGGGCTCCCTGCTGCAGAAGGCAGAGGTGTCCAGACAGCACCGAGGAGCCCCCCGCCTCTGGCAGTGTGGAGTGGAGCCTGTCACCTCCCAGTTCCCTTGAGAAACCAGCACCGAGGAGTGAACATGTCACTCATGTCACTGGGCTTGGAGTCCTGCCCAGAGAGAGGACCCAGGGCAGTGGTGACCCAGCCTTTCCCTGGGTCAGGCCTCCTGGTGGGAGCCCTGGGCTCCCAGGAGGTTTTGCTAAGAGAGACCTAAGCCAGAGGCAGGGACCTCACGCACCCAGGTAYAGAGAAACAGCCCAGGAGGGACACAGTGGCCCTTGCGTATGTATTAAAAGATGACCGACCCTCCGGGGCCTTGTGTGGTTGGCAGACTCTGTCGGATGAGCCCGCATCAGAGTCGGGGGGCCATTAGTCTCTGTTACTAAGTTGGCAAATGTAACTCTGTTCCGTCTCTGTCCATCCAAGGTGGCCCGCCGGTGGGGGAAGAGGAAAAATAAGCCCAAGATGAACTACGAGAAGCTGAGCCGAGGCCTRCGCTACTATTACGACAAGAACATCATCCACAAGACATCGGGCAAGCGCTACGTGTACCGCTTCGTGTGCGACCTCCAGAACYTGCTGGGGTTCACGCCCGAGGAACTGCACGCCATCCTGGGCGTCCAGCCGGACACAGAGGACTGAGGTCTCTGGCGCCGCCCTGAGCCACCCCGGGCCTGGGACTGTGAGCGGGAAGCCCAGCCTGACCAGCTGATCCCCAGACCCAGAAAGGCAAGGTTGAACCTGTCCCTGTCCAGAAAGGTCACCGAGAAGCCRTGGCCTTATTTGATCCCAGATCCTGCCTGTTCAGCAGGGTGCCCCTGGTGGCCGAGTGGCCCGCAGCTGGGCAGGAACGACTTTAATGAACGTGGTAGAGATGGAGGCGCAGGGGCCACCCTGACTCCGCATGGCCATGTGGCAGGGAGTCTGTTCAGGATTCCCCGGGGAGTGACCGGGTGTGGAAACACGGACATTAAGTGGTGTTTTGGCCTGTTGCAACCGGAGCAGAGACCCTCTCTGTCAGAGAGGGCTGGGAGGGAGGGAGCCTGGGACCACGCCATTTCAGAAGACAGTTTGTGTATATTATTGTAATCTTATAATTGTTATCAAAATCCTCTAACAGTTCTATTTAACAGAAATTGTATATTGTAATTTAAAATAATTATATGACTGTATTTGAGATAAGAATGCAGACATCCAATATTTTATTCCATTTTTTCAATAGCACATGCGTCCGGCATTTTACAAAGACGCTCTCTGCCCCCGTGGCAGACGGAGGCGTTGTGAGTGTGGATTATGTTCATCTGATAGACCTACAGGAACAAGGTCTCAGGGGTAATCCCTGGTTTTCGTCCTCTTATTGTTGGTTTTTTGTTTTGGTTTTGCCATGATGACTATCTTGGCAAGGACTTTGTACACTTGGATTTTTATAAGAAACTTCATGTCATTATCCTGGGGTACCATGGACCTCTCTGCTTTTTCCTTGAATTGTAAAGCAAAAGCTATAAAGCAGTATTTTTCTTGACAAATGGCATATGTTTTCCACTTCTGTGCATGCCTTAAAGCCGTTTATAYACAAATGTATTTTATTTTTTGGTGTAACCGTGTTTTCCCGACAGCTCACCTCTCCTGGCCAAACTTTTCCTTCCTGTGCCCCGAGTGACTCTGTGTGATTAAAATAAGAAAACTATTTTTGGAAATATGCGAATCCTTTTCAGAGACCAGGAGGGATTTATGTAGCAGCTATTTTTACTACAAAAGTAATTCACTGGAAAAAAAAAATGTAATTTGTACGAAAGCTTTATTTTTATCTCAGCTCCGTGTCCTGTGTTGTGCAGAGCTGAAGGGCAGGGTGGGCGGGAGGGGCTTCTGTAAACCTCGAGTACAGTGACGCATGGCTGCACCAAGGTGGTCGCCTGCCGTACCTGGGGCCATCTGGATAGTCTGCTTTCCCTTTCTGCTCAGTGTCCTCAGAAGATCATTTCCTCTTTCTTTATTATTTTCTTGGGTGAGGAATACCCAGAAGCACAGAGAGGGTCCGCAGACAGAGAAGAACGCCCAGGAGTGGATCATTGGAGGAAAATGTTTCGATTCCCGCCAAGACTTGAGGACACWGAGTCCACCGTGTAGTCCTGGCCTTCGCCAGTGATCCAGCCACGTTGACTTCAGAGTCGGAGGGACTTTCCTAGCAGCGTGGCCGTGGATCCCTGAGGCTGATGAAATCACAGCACAGGCACCCGCGAGCCGGGGCCAGCAAAGCCAGCCTGTGGGGCCCAGCCGACATGCTCAGAAGAGATGGTTTTCAGGACACTTGCGCACAGGATGTTTTTTCAAGTGGGACCTATTTGTCTCTGGAACATCTGTTTATAATATAAACAGACGTGACTGGGAACATCTTGCTGCCCAAAGAAAGCGTAGCCATCGGCTGATTTAAATGAGGTGGAGCTAGGAGCCACTGCGGCCAGTTTCAGACTGGTTCTGACCAGCAGTTTCTTGTGGTTCAGCCTCAAGTGATGGAGACAAGTCCTGAGAAGCCTTTGGCATGGTAATGAATGAATCTTGAGTATAAAAGTTTTGTAATTTGGCTTTTTCTTTCTCAAGTAATAAAGTCTTTGGTTTATGTAAACGTCTCCGTAATATTCCTCGCCTTCTCCACTCCAGTGTCAGGAGCCAGAGTGAGGCCCCAGGGTTGGTGACCCYGTCTCCACCTGCACCTTCTTGTCTCGGGTGACCTGGTCTCACCCTCGAGGAAGCCCAGAAACCCTAGAATCCCTGGCCTGGAGGGAGCACTGAGCCCAACCGGAAGGAGTTCCCAAAAAGTGCTCCTTCAAGGGAGGAATTCTTAATCGTCACGGGGACCCTCCGGGTGTCTGGTCTTTGAGAAAAGGCTGAGGATGTCCGTGTTCAGGACAGGACTTGAGGCGTCAGCACTTCTGTAATCTGAGGCCGGGGTGCTCCAAGTCCCCACATGGGAGTTCTGACACAGGGGACAGGAGCCAGAGAGGACAGAGACGGTCCAGGACACTCGTTCCTGTACCCAGGACTCCACACCCTGGGCTGCCAGGACCTGTGGAAACCAGCAAAGGATGGCATCACATCCCTGCCAATGGCCACCATTTCAGAAGTTAAATGTTAAGATATTGATTTTGAAATGATCTACTTACATATTAGCATAAAGAGCACGTTTTTCTCACTGAAATGAAATTTTTTTATYTAAAAATAATCATGGCATTATTCTACATTGGCAAATCTCTAAAGATTCCCGTTAATGTCTGGCTTAATAGGTTTCTGTCGACTTATTTCTGCATTTAGTTTGTTCTGTCTTTTTTTGATGAGTGTATGAAGGAAAYATGGCCTTCCTCACAGCCCTGCCCCATAACTGTGGATACTCTTTCCTATGATGCCAACGGTTACACATGGCGATTTCTTAACTCTTAATTGCCATTGGAATATGAAACCATATCAATCAACTTTCCGATGGTCACACTGAATTCCACTGGTCCGTCTTGCCGTTAGAATGGGTCTTTTACTCATATGTCATTCTGTAACATCATACATATTGGTCATTTGGAAAGTATTGCTTCAAAATGTCGACACATTTCGATACCAGACGATCATAACAGTTACTTTAGTCACCACCCGTCTTACCAGGCTCACAACGCCTGACAAATTTTCAAGAATTCACATCTTTATTTGGAAAYTCAAATCTTATCATTGACAACAAATCTTCCTCTCGAATGTTTTCTCTGAAGTGACGGCTCAGTTCCGTTATTTTTGAGAAGTAACCCACCCAGTACTCTTGGCTGAATAGATATAGAATTTGCCACTTGTTCTTTCAGGTAAAGATGGTGCCCATGAATAAAGTGGTTAGTTTAGCTTGTAACTCAACACAGCTGCCTTTCCTTGGGATGGGCACCCTACTTCCCTAAGCAGGCTTTCCATTTTATTACACAAAAATTAAAAAGAGGTCTGTTGTGTTAGTAAAATTAGATTTCACTGATTCAGCAAAAATACTCTTGAGTGGAACTGACATCTRTACACATTTAATTCATCAAGTACGTGATGCTGAAGAATGTGATGACTCTTGTCCAGTTGTCAGTGCCAAAGTCAGCCCAGTAAAGATATCGCAAAAAACGCTTGCCTGACATGTGTGAGGCATGGATTGGCGTCTCAGCTCCACATGTAAATAAATGAATAAAATGAAGGTTCATCAACAACTAAAAAATACATATTAAAAAAAAAGATACTGCAAAAAAAAAATAGTTCCAACCTTCAGGAGACCCCCACCCCCACCCCAGTCTGAGTACCACACTTTGAGAACTATTCTAGAAAGGAAAGAGGCTTACCTAGAACAAAAGGGGTGGACCTTGAGGGGAGTAGGCAAAATTAGGCCTGGCTATGTCAGAATCTGATGTCCCTGGTTCCAATTTTACCCTTTCACAACAAGAGGATGCATTTTAAACTTAAAGCAAAAGGAATCKCCTACTATTCTGCATGATGTAGGAAAATTTCCTCACTTGGAATAAGACAGACTTTGTTTTCCAAACCTTTTATAGAAAAAAAATGTATATTTTACCACACTTTTTGGCAGTTCAGATTTAAATTCAGTTATAATTGTCTGTTTAATACATGAGTTAGTTTTCTGTCACTGTAACAAAATACTTGAGGGAATAAATTTATAAATAGAAAAAGGTTATTTTGATTCACAGTTTTTAGGGTTTCTGTTCTTGACTGATGGGCCCTATTGCTTTTGTGCTTGTGGCTAGGCAGCACATCATGGCAGTAGCTCAAGGTGAAGCAAAACCACTCACCCCATGACAAGGAAGCAAAAGAGAAAAAGTGGCCAAAGTTCACAATCCCTGGCAGGGACACTCTCCCCGTGATCTAAAGATTCCCACTAGGTGCCCCTGCTGAGCCTCCATTCCCCTCTCAATTGTGCCACCCTGGGAAGCACATGGGCCTTGGGRGCACATTCAGATGGAAACCACAGCGACATAAGGACCATCTTCCATAAGGGTGGCCTGGCTGGGAGAAGTATCAGGAAGAGCTGAACCGAAATCACTCTAAAAATACAAGATCCTGTCCCTTGAAAGATGGAAACCTTTTTCTGAAGGATGCAAGAGTTCATCGATTGCTTTCACCACCTTCCTATAAAATGTTCACTTCGTCACCTCCAGAAGAACCAACGATCACTTTGATAACATCAATGTCATTGGTCGGTTATATCAATGGACAGGTTCTGTGCTTGTAATCAACCTCAATTGATCATCACAATGAATTAAAAAAAAAAAAAACAGAAAGGGAATGGAAATTAAATATTTAGATCTGTGTCTGGGATCTTGAATGYCCCCCAGGGGTCACAGCGTGAATGTCCCCATGTGTAGTGCTCAGAGGAGGGACCTTTGGACAGTGCCCGGGTTTGAGGGCTCTGACCTCAGCAGCGGACTAATCCATGGATGGATTCAGAGCTTGTGGGGTTTGGGGGAGGGGCTTTGTTATAAAAGCAAGTTGTCTCTCTTGGCTTTCCGGCCAGCACCAGCTGAGTGGCTTCMCTCCACCACACGCTTCCGCCATGATGGGTAGCCTCACCACAGTCCCAAAGCCATCAGGTCAAGTGACCATGGACGGAACCTTAGAAATCATGAGCCAAAATAAACCTTTACTCTTTAAACTGATTTTCTCAGGCATTTTGTCACAGTGGCAGAGATCTGACTAACACACAGAGAAGTCATTCTTCTTAACATTCTGAGTTCTGCGGCCATGCCCAGATGAGGCCCACGTGGCCTGCCTTCCAGCCTTTCCCCACGTGGGGAAGGAGTGAAGCTCAGTTGCCTCTGGGCCCACACCACAGGCTGGCTCTTCCCATGTTCCGGCAGGGCTGAGGGCCTCTGRGTGTTGGACGCTCACGGCAGACGATGACTCAGAGTCTGATGGAGCTGCTCAGTGAGGTGTGTAAGGCACAGGGCACAGGGGGACGGCGAGGGCAGCATGGGCAGCGGGTGTGGGGGTAGAAAGTTGTCTCATCTCTTCTTGGCAAACATGGAGCCAGTTGGCAGTAGGTGTCCTTGAGCTTTGGAGYCACTTGGGGCTGGCTGTCACCAGCTCTGTCACGTATGGCCTGTGACCTGGGGCATGAGACCTACTCCCTCTCTGCCTCAGTTTCCCCTCATGAAGTGGGGTCACTGGGTGGCTGTGGAYGGATCATTATCATGGGTCTAGACGGCATGCCGTCGGTAGCCCTGGGGGAGCACCATGAAGGCACCACCCAGTGACTCCGGGCAAGGTGTGCTCAGCCAGGGGTCTGCAAAGAAAGCAGGGCTCCTGACAGCCACGCCTCCATTTTCACAAGGGGTGACCTGACCCAAAGGTCAGCAGCAGAGCCAGTACCTAGGCTCCACCCAAGGCCTGGTCTTCGTTTCCTGGTGTGGGTCTCCGACCGMGGTCACCCTGCCCCGTGCTGTGGTGTGAATGCCCCTCTCGACCTCCAGTTGAAATTCCATCCCCACTGGGACAGTGCTAGGAGGTGGGGCCTTTCAGGGGTGGTTAGATCCCCGGGCTCTCTGGCCTCCTGAGTGCAGCCCTGCGGCTCCCACAGGAGTGGCTCTTCCCCGAGGATCCGGTTCTTGAAAAGAGGGGTGAATTGAGGCCACTTTCTTCTCTCCATCGGGCACAGGTTACTTCCCTTCCGTG